AAATATTAATCATGAATGCTTTAAATTTCGTCATATCCACAACTTTGAATCTATTTTTAAAGATAATGATTATAGTATTTAATGGAATAAATGAATAAAATTAACTTGTTAATATGGTTATCTTGTTAATACTATAAATTGAATTTAATCCAATATTAAGAATTATGGTTGAAATCATTATCCAAGAGAATGATCTAATATGTATGCATGATGAGTTAAATTGAAAAAACTTAAGTGCATAAACTATTATATTTAATACTTGTATTGGTTTGAAATTTAATTTATATATATTTAAAATTATATATGTAATTATAATTAATGTAATTAATTATATACTGTAATTATTATGATTACTTGAACATGACAGATTATGTTTACAAATACTTTAAGATATTATCATTTTACATAGCAAAATTTAATATATTAATTTTTACAATTGTATCAGATAAATGTAATAAAACTTTATAACATATTTTTGTCATTTCTATATATTCTGTTTTTCTTGTGCGGTGTTTTTAGCGGTGTTTTAGTTATGTATTAAATTGATAAAAAATATCGAAATTATATTTATATAACACTAATAAAATCATAAATAATTATTACGATTAGTAGTTATTAAATAACTAGTTATTAGTAGATAGTGTATTGCGCAAGTTAGTCTTATATAGAAATCATCACTTTTTTTTTATAGATATTTAACATATATTTCTCATATATTGTAGTATACAAGTTCTACGTGAAAAACACAGCAATAATAGTCTGATGCATGCGTGTGCGTCAGGCATAAGTGGCGTGTACCATGTAGCAGCATGTAGTCGATCAGTTGAGAATAGAGCTGTCGCTATCAGTTTCTCTTTCGTTGCAATAATTGTATATATTTAAAAGGTTAAAGGTTTTTTTTTTAAAGAATACCAAAAGTACAATTAGTTTCCAGTAAATAAAATAGAAGTGTTTGATATCAGTCTCTCAAAATGGTGAGTATTAATAAAAATTGGAGCATTTTGGAGGCTAAGAGGTTAGGCGGAGGTTAATTATAATAAACGAACACGTGATTCCTTATATGGTAGCATGACTTTAGGTAGAAAAAAATATATATATACATATTCATTTAAATAATGTTTTCTAATATATTATTTCGTAATATAAAGAAGAGAATTTTTTTAGTTATTTTTGCGTTTTATATTATCCAAGCAGATAGCTTTTCAAGTTAATTTCAGCAAGATCCAAATGAAGACACCGAATGGAATGATATCCTTAGGAGGAAAGGTATCATACCTGAGAAGGAAAAGGAAAAGGAAGTTACTGAGGATCAAATAGTAAATCTGTTGGAGAGTACAATAGATGAGAAAACAGGACGTGGTAATTATGTGTTTTTTAATATTCAATTATTAAATTGCATTTTAGTGTTTATCGATGTGTTATCGTCGGCTCACAAATTCAATTTTTACAGATTGTAACAATTTAGAAGAAAAGACTTTGGATGAGTTAGATGAGCTGGAAGACGAAGAGGATGAACGAGTTCTAGAGGAATATCGACGAAAGAGAATAGCAGAAATGAAGGAGTTAGCTAACAAGTGTAAATATGGAGAGGTGCGAGAAATATCTGCAGAAGATTATGTTAAGCAAGTTAACAATGCTGGTGAAGACGTTTGGGTTGTTTTATATCTTTACAAATCTGGGTATGATAAAGCAAAGCAGAACAAATCTTCATAGTGAATACAATCATGAAACTTACTCATAATATAAATATATTTTCAGCATTCCTCTCTGTACTCTAATCAATCAGCATCTTGCCAGTCTAGCAAGAAAGTTTCCTGCCACTAAATTTTTGAAAAGTATCTCTACCACTTGCATCCCAAACTGGCCCGACAGTAATCTTCCTACAATATTCGTTTATCACGATGGAAATATGGTGAAACAAATTATTGGGCCGCTCGAATTTCGTGGCATGAACCTGTCTGAAGCAGGTAATACTTGCTTGATTGCAAAGTGTCACAAAGAAAATGTACAAGGAAATAATTGTGCTGTTTACTTTGTTATATAGAATTAGAATGGATGTTGGGGCAGACAGAAGCAATACCAACGAAGATCAAGGAGGATCCTCGACCCAAGATTAATGATGTTTTATTTTCAAGTTTGAAAAACGGAAACAATCTTGATGATGGTAACGATTGGTAATTTTACTTATCTGAAGTCATTAAGAGATTGATGCATAATAAGTATTATCAAATTAATGTTTTTCATTTTATTTATTTTATCATGTCTATAAACTCGTATTTATAAAAGTATATATAAAAGTACTATTTTCAAAACTGCTATACGTTCATTTTAATAAAATATTTTATTACAATATTATCTCACTTTACATTTATGCTGTTTATCCTATAAACTGTATATATATATATAAGAAATCTGTTCAATAATTTAAATAGAAATTATGCTATTGGAAAAATATAAATAAAGGATTTATTACAATCGATTAGAATCAGCAAGCTTTTAAAATTGTATTTGAAATTTATATAATGTTACATATGTATATATTCACTTTTAACGTTACATATATGAAAACAATTTATTCTCTTAATTTTAAAAATAATAAAGAATTATTTTTAAATCTTTGTGAATAAATTTAAAATTGTCGAAATTATATATTTATATACATATAAATTCTTTGTTTTGCAAATTGACAAAATTTAATTAATATTTAGGGATTGATATAATTAAACTCTTTTTTTGCTTACATATTGTTACAGTAATAAGATTCCAATTTGAACTCCAAGGATTCATTTGATCCATATAGCGCATTGATTCTTGAATCGAAGAAAAACATTACATTAAATTGCTCGTTAATTTTTCACCAAAATTGTCGGAAGGAAGCAACGAATATTTTTAAAGTCGTTTTTAGACGTTCTATAGATTTCAGAGTAAAATGCTATTTACAACTTAGAGTGCGATCCCATTTGCATTTGTCAATTTTTTTTCTTCTGATTGAACAACGAAGTATTTTGCAGCGAGTGGATTGCATCCTCATTCCTCAATATGCCTCAATGTACATTGTGCATTTTGTAATTGCATGCATTCAATTTTACGTAAGATGCATCATTTTATCCTTGTTCTTCACCGAATAAACAAGGATAAAATAATACATCATGCAATCATGCGTGAAACACGCTCTTGTACGTGCACGTGTGCATGTGACGTGCGCCAACGTGAACATTCCGAGTCTCGGAGTTCAGATGTTTTTTCGTTTATCGTGCGTCGTGCGATTTGCTTCGCGCAGTTTATACGACGCGGCCGGCGACCAAACGAGTGAAACGGGACGCATACTTCGAATCCGAATTCATAAGTTACGTGACGACGACGGCAATCTTATCTGAAATGTCTTGAATTCTGATCGCGAATTAGATATATGTAGATCGTCGTCGGCCGTCGCGAAGCGCGAAAGTAAGACAGATATGAGAACCTCCGTCCAAATGAGTAACACTTGAGACGGTAAGAAATGTCCATCACCAAATTTCACGTGCATGGAAGCAAATAGAAGCAAATAAAATAGAAACACTTATCTCGAAATCTCAAAACATTCGGTTTAGAATTTTGGGAACCATGTATTTACGTACGATACAAATACGTAGATATGGATCGAGTGCTTTCCAGCAATAGAGAACACTTACACTGCGACACAGTAATAGCTGAAACGTTGTTCAGCTATTTTATGTCACTGTGAGAGTGAAGAAAAAGGTGTTGTACAGCAATAGGACCGAACACGTTCGAACGTAATCTTGAAATCTCTTATCGGAGTGTCACTCATAGAAAAATAAATGACAATGAAAAATAAAATATATAATTGCTTTCGAGACGACGAGATGTGTCGACTTGCGTTATAGTTAGAATCGTAAGTCTATTCCTTTTCCGTCCAGGATTGAACTTCTCACATGATTAATCTTTCTCTCGAATTCTCTCCAACGTGAAAAGAAAAAGAAGAAAAATAAAGCTGTAAGTATCATTTAGAATTAATCCTGAGGTATGGAAAAAAACCAATTTGGAGTTTTCACTGTTTTCGGGGCTTTTATACACCTATATACATATATTTTTTTTTTATGCGCGGCGCCTTTGCCAGTACTGCCGTCTGAACGTAGCAACGTAGCGAACGTTTAAAAAAAAAGGCTGCGGAGCTACGGGCGACTTTGTTTACATTCGCGGGCGCCCATAGGATATCTTTTTTCATGCGATTACCGCTCCCTCAAGGACTTCTCAGGTTACGGTTTTTGTTTAGTGGCTGAGAGAGCGGCTTTTGTGTGTCACCATTGAGTCTCATTGTCAGTCGTGCGCGAACGAAAGACGGGCTTGAACTCCGTGTCACTCGCGGTTACGACGAATTTTTCATTACCGGCGAATTGCCCTGGGAGTGAGACAGGAAGAACAAAGCCAGTGCTGTGACAGTGCTTTTGACGCTCACCGTCCCCTCCCTCCTCTTGCTCTATTATCGGATCTCCGACAAAAGTTATTAATTGATGATTTTCGATTTCTTGGAAGGTATGCGGTATGCATGCAGAATTTTTTTTTTTTTTTTAGTGTATTCCGAATTAAATCGGTGCTTATTGTTCAGTTACAGTGCTTTTTGTGATTCACTCGAAGTTCTAAAAATAGTGACGATCTTGCCCTCTTGATTCTTTGATTTATTAGTGTTGTATTAATAATATGCATATAATATGCTTGACTGTTACGTGAGAATATTTATTACGATTTTAGATAAGCTAGGCGTTAGGAGATTGTATTTATAATAATTCTTCGAAACGCTAATAAAATTTTGAAACATTTTATTGTTTTAATTCAACAATAATTAAACAATAGATAATAGATCTTTTTTATCGAGGATATGTCTCGAGTTTTATAATAAAGTTTTAAATTATCAGATTTTTTTCATAAGCATTGAGAAACTAAAACCTGATTTTTTTGCGAAGGTAATCTTTGATTTTATTTTTGCGTTATTCCTCTTAAAATTAGAATAAAAATGTAATCAGGTATGTTTTAACTATATTCCTTTATAATTTTTGTTATAAATAAAATAAAATAAAAAATTGGGGAAGAGAGACTTTAACTTTATAGTTAAAATTAATTTGTGTATTAATTTGATGGCTCAATAAAATGTCAAAATATGTAAAACTTAAAATATTAATTTTTTGAAATAAATACAATTTACAAATAATTATTATTTTATAAATAATTTTTAATAACTATATATAAAATGATTGTTTACATCCTTTAAATGATCTTTATGTGAACGCACCATTATTTACAAATAAATAATATGATATTAAATAAATTTGTAATATACTCGATCTTTATTATGATTTTAAATAATCTAGGGATTAAGAAATTGTATTTAATTACATAGCAAAGTTCTTCGAAATGTTGAAATCATAAAGCATTTTATCGTAAATAGATTATAGTAAAAATCATAAATGTAACAGTTGACCATGGACAAATATTTCAGTATACTATTTTATTTTTCATATTTGATATCTTATATATTAGAATAGGCAAATATTTATTAAATATTCTATCAATTATTTTGTTTACCGGCTAAAAGTTCGTATATGTCGCAGCAGAGTATGCAGGCACAGAATTGTAATAATACCAGGAAAAAGATGAATATTGAAGTAGGTTTATCATCTATGAAGTCCTTCAAAACCATTTTTATGAAAGATGCAAATATCTCTGAGGAGAAAACTATCGCAAACCAAGCTTCATTGCATAATGTGCAGCTTCTACGGAATTTACCAAATATTTTAAGAAGCAATAACACAAAAACCTCTAGAAATCATAAAATATTGAACAAAACTGATACAAGTATCTCCGGTGCAGAAGACGGAAATTCTTCTTGGGAATTAAATACATCATCTAGCGTTGATTTAGATATGGAAGTCAATTATAATAAAATCACTTTATCAAAATCGCATCATCAAAGAAAGCAAGTGCACAATCCATTGGACGTTCAATACGATATTCCTGATTGCAACAATAACAAAAATAAAAATCTACTGCAAGAAGTTAGTCAGTTAAACACTTTAAATATATCACCAAGTTGCCAAAAAAATACACCAACGAAGAAAAAAAACGCAGAGTATAACAACAAGCAGAAGAAAAGTTTGTTCAATAAAAACTTGAAAAAAAAAACAACTCATAAATCTAGCAGGAAAACACAAGTGTCACGTAAAAAGCCAGTCACTTTAGCTACTATTCCAGATATGAATATGAAGAACGCTATGCAAGATGTTAATAATTTTTTGAAGAATGATATACTTCCTCAACAACTTTCCATTTACAATTCTAATTTTTCAAATATAAATGTAAATGATTTAAATAATGTTGCAACAGACCTGGTCGAGCCATCTAATATTTTCTACTGTAACAATGAGATTTACAAATTCGACAAAGAATGTGATATAAATCTCAATGATGTTATTTCTTGTAAACCGACAGAGATCAACACAACGCAGTCTAAAACTATCCAAAAAGATATTACAAGTTATGAGTTTCCAATAACAGAGAATAATTTGCAACGAAAGACGATAGATAGCTACATTGGCTCTAATTTCTTATGTGGATCCAAAATATTGTATTCTTGTTCTTGTGCAAATTGTATGTCACATGACAAAGATATTATATTTTATGAAGATCCAGTATCAACTTCTTCGAGCAGTGACGACATGGAAGCAGAGCTTTTCACATGTGATTTGCATACAAACATTTATGACTTTTATATTAATAATTACTTTCATATATTTGGTAATCTAATGGACTTTGAAAAGAATTTTTATGAAGAGTTTGACGAGAACATTTCAACGAAAGAAAATGCATGTAGTACAACAGAAGTAATTGAAAACAGTACAAACATGTCATCCATAAACCAAAATGAATCACAAAATTTACAGCCTTCCCATATTGATAGAAAAGATATTTGTGTAGAATCATATCCTGCAGCATTTGTCACATATCCTAATGAAATAACAATGGAAAATTCAAGAACTTTTGATGAAATAGATATCCCTAATTATTTAAATTTGGACAGTTTTTCGATGAAAGAAAATAAAATGATTTCTCAAGATGAAATATTGATTCAAAACGCTGTCTCATCGAATGCACCTGTTTCCAATTCTACATATCAGATACCAGAAAACAACAGAGGTAGATATAAAAGATAAAAAAAAATAATTATAATAAATTATTACTTCAAGTTTTTATTATCTGAATTACTTATTTAATAAATATCTGTATTTTATTTTAGATTTATATGTTATGCAGTGTGCTCAATGTGGAAAATTATTCAGTAAAAAGCATCAGTTATGGAAACATTTTAGTCACTGTTATTTTTACAAGGAAAATTTTCCTTGTCATATCTGCAATAAAATGTACAGGTAAGAATATAGAGATAAAGCTTCTTGCTTGCTGTTTGATAGATTAAATACGTTATAAATACGTGTTGAATGTATGATTTATGTACAGATATTATTTTAACACATTTACAGACATAAATCGTCATTAGTTCAGCATTTACGGTTAGTGCATAATGTATCACATGGTCTCCACGAAAAGTTGGAGAAAAACTATATTTGTAAAAAATGTTCAAAATCATATGTCAGATTTCGCGCTTTTCAAAGGCATATGCTTCTTCATGACGATTAGTAAGTCTGATTGAACGTCATTGATAGTTGGTTTCTAACAAGATGTCCTAGAACTGAGATTGCTACTAAGAAATTGCGAAAAATCGTATATGACGTGAACATCACAGAAGTACAACATAGTAACTATTTGTTCGATGTATGATTTGACAAGTGACGTCAGATTTTACAAATAATTTTATATTTTGATAAGTACTTAATACTTGATTTTTTATGTTTTTTTTTTGTTATTATTTTTGTTGTCAATTCTTTAAAAATGTTCCTCTTTGTTTAGATTTTCTTATTAATGTTTTCTATTAGAGCTCCTTTTTTTAGTTTGTGGTGTACTACAGCGAGCCTCTCATTACTACTGTATTTCCAGTGTATCACAGATTTTTCTCTCACTCTCACTTTAAATTACGTAAATGATAACATTTTCATCATACAGTTAATTTTAATGAAGTATTCATTTAGAAATAAAAGAAGATATTTAATATTAAAAAGAAATATGAAGAAATATAGGTAGAGATAAAAATTTAAATTTTCGTAATTAACTTAAAATTTTTCAAGGAATGAAAAATATGAATGGAAACACAGTAGTAATAAACAATATTATAATTAATAAATAAATTGAAAACTTTTATTTATATCTATTTTTATACAGAAGACTCTAAAGCATATAAGTTGAGTATAACATTTTATTAATATTTGACTAATATTTTGTTCCTTTGTATCTATTCTTTTTACTTCCTGAAATATATTGCCAAAGTCTGTCTTACTATAACTGCATTCTTTCGTTTTAAGGATGAGAAAAAATCATAAACTCAGAATTTGGCATATATGTATGTTTAGTAACTAATTTCATTTAACATATATAAAAAATATATATAAAAAAATATATATTATATTTTTTATATATTCTAACGATACATCCAAAGTTTGGTATTTATATGTGTATTCATTTTAGTAGTATATTGCTATGCCAAACATGTTATTTAGGCAATAAATGTCTATTATTGTGATAAATTTGTGCCTGAAGAATTAACGCAATATATTAATTATTAACGCAAATAATTATAAGACCAAATTGTAAATGGTTTTCTATATGGTATTTTATATGATAAAAATTGATAAGGAAAATTGTTATTATCAAATAAAAAGGAAGAAAAATACGTCACAAATCCTTAACATGTAATTTTCTTTGTACATACGAAAAACATTTTACAAAGAAATAAAAGATATTTGGCTGTTTTAGGATACGTACATTTGTCCTTTGATAAGACACGAATCGCAAACACAGGTATACGAGAATCTTTCATATAATCGTATTTGATGACATTATCATTCCAAAATAGTGAATACATTGAATTTACTGCATGCGTGAAATATGATTATTCTATAGTTGAATGTGTGACAGAATATCTCAAATGGATGCGTCTTCTAAAGAAAAGGGATAGAATCGTATATTATTGCAGAACAAATTATTAATTATTAGTTTAAGCGAAGTCGCGGAATTACATATTTATAACAGACATTAACATATGTCTTACAAAATGTTGTTCACTTTATTAATGAATTTACTAGTAAAATTTTATTCGTAAAATATTACTTAAATTTAAATGTATATTATTTTATATGTGAAATTCAAATAGTAATTGAGTCTTGCAAATTCTTTAAGAGTTAAAATGTAAAGTCGAAATAAAACTTAAAATTTATTAATAAGAAAATAATTTTTAATTTAAAATAATTGATAAGAAATTTATTTCAAGTTTATTTATCGTCTAATTAATTACACTTATCGTTTAGCACTTTCTTGCATAAAACTTAAAAAATAGAACTTGGATTTTTTGAAATGTCTAGTAAATTAGTTATCTATATAATTGCAGCAATATTCCATTATTTATAATTAAAAATGTTGTGATATATCATAAAAATTTTTTATAACATATTTGTATTAACAATGTTTACAAAAAATTTTTTATTTACAAAAACTGACATTCAAGAGCAGAATTTCATTTAATGGAAAATTAAAAGTATTAAAAAAATTTTGTCTACTTAAATTTTTTCTGTTGAGTACAATAATTTGCATTTTTTAACAAATAGGAATATTATTGTGCGATGTCCACAAAAATCTTAAAATATTATGGTAAGTACAACATAAGTGTTCTATGTTTTTTTTTTATTTCAATAATATTTTTGAGTATAAATGCGATTGTAAATTTCATATTGTTTTGAAACTAAAATATGAGCCTTTCTCAACAAAATCACGGTATTGAATGGTTACTATTGTTATATTTGAGTTTTCGAATTTGACAAGTTTATATTGTAACAAATTTAAATACGCCACGATTAATATCTTCATGTTGGGCCACTTTCAGAAGTTTCATCCGATTATCGTTTTACTCTTGTTCACCTAATGTTAAATGAGGATAAAGTGATACCTGGATGCACTCGAGTGAAATTTTTGAGTGCAGCTATTAACTGTGACGTCATACAACCATCGTCAGAAGCGCGCAACATGGCGTCGCCGCGTCGCCGCGTTGCCTCGTCGCCTCGTATCCTCGTATCCTCTTCTTCTAATGTCTTATAAGTAACAGGTAAATACAATTTTGTATTTCGAAAAAATATGTTATTTGAGTGAAGCAGTCTTAAAAGTATGTACGATTAAACGATAAGGGAATATGAGAAGCTCGTAATAATTTGAAAGAGTCTGAATTCTAAGATGCTCGTAATAATTTAGGAGTTCCGTTTCACGCGTGATACGCATAATGTAGCATTTTTATTCTTGTTCTTCGAATTGTGTTGCATTCGAGAATGTACATCGAATGCTTCCAAGTATCCTTTTATCTTTGTTATTCACTGGGTGTTAAACAAGATAAATTGATATCTGGAGGCACTCGTGTGTACTCTCGAATGCAGTCTTAAAGAAGGATTAAGTGATACATCACGTGAAACGGAACTTTATTAGGTTTCGAGTTTTGCGAAATAGTTCCTCTGTTTTGTCGGCCTTCTACGGTAAAATTGTGAAAAAAAATACGGTAAAATTGTAAACGCTACATATAAAAATACACGAAAAGAACGGTTTTGTTGAAATATCAAAAAATTTAGTTGGATACAGATCTGAAAATAATTTTGTTTGAATCTCATCAAAAGTCGCGTTTCGATTATATTTACTGAAAATTACAGCATTAAGTTAAGGTAAATTTCCACGATAAGACATGTATCTAGTGATATACATATCTAGCTAAATTTATAACTTCAGCAGAATCGTTGTCCTTCCATGTACTTGTAAACAATTCATCTTTTATATATTCGTTACAAATTCATTATATTCCGAATTTCTTTCGCCGCGTTACGCAGAGAAGAGGGTGGATACGTATAAAAAATACATTGCTTTATTTATTTCGGTTCAGATAAACTTGTGACAGGACTCTCTTTGGTCTTAAGATGTAAGGAAATAGTTTTTTCACCAAAACGACAATTGTTTAATTGTAACAATTTCAGTTTGTTTGTGTTTTTAATATGTATTAATTGACATATCTCTCCTAGTTTCATATAAATATTCTAACTAGTATAATGATATATATTATTTTCATATATATTATTTTAGTATATTCTAATATAAAAACATATATGCATATATGATATGTATAGTGTTTAATTGATAAATATTGAGATACTTGAATGAATACGTATTTAGTTTATTATATTTCCAATAGGAAATATGATATAGAAACATTGATTACTTAATAAGCCACAGTTCGGCGTAAAAGATTATTATTAATATATTATAATTAATATCATTATATTATAGTAATTTAATAATCCTACCATAATTATAATATTGATGATTTAATAGATATAATATAATAGAGTTTCTCTCTTGAAAAAAATATTTAATAATTCCTCTAAATTTTATACTTATCTTATTTTAATACATTGAAATTTTATTTTATTTTTTAACGTAACTATTATTATGTAAAATAGTAAATGCCATTACTGAAATAAATAGTAAAGTATTTCTATTGGTATTAATAAATTATA